TTTTTACGTTGTACTATTAACCTAACCTATCGCAGCCAAAACTTTGTTGATCAAGTGTGTAAATACATTAAATATCTAAATAAACTTAATGAGTTTTGGCACTATTAAGATAATGCCAAAATAGCCTTGAATGGGGTGATTACCACGAGGGTACACCCCCCCCCCCTCCCCTGAGAATGGGTACCACACTACACAGCCCGTCCTCCTACTACATCGTCGTATTGTGACGTATACGCCACATAAGGCCAAAAATTATCGTACTGGAAAATGGAAGCAGCTCGCGAAATTGACATTCTGTCCCGTTTTCTGTTTTGGGTCCTCTGGCAGGTTGGGATAACGGCACCTTTGTGCGACTGTTTCTTGACGTTGGGAAACCTTATGAGGACGGGCTAGACTTAATAACGTTTTTGTTACACACACCCGGGAAGCAGGCCGTAGCAGCTGTCTAACTCCCAGGTACCTATTTACTGTTAGGTAAACAAAAGCATCAGGGTGAAAGAAACTCTGACCCTTTGTTTCCGTCTCCACCGGGAATCGAACCCTGAAACTCTGGACTACGAATCCGAAGCGCTGTCCACTCAGCTGTCAGGCCCCTTAGAGACCTCTGGCACCACAAGTGCCCAACAATCGCCTCTACAACACATACTGTTAACGTCCAAACTTCCGTGTGATGGAACCACTACTATGGCCAGGGTGTGGTGGAGGGGTAGAGGGCACCTCTAGCACGGGTTGCCATGGGGCGAGACAGCTCTAGGACGGGTTGCCATGGGGCGAGACAGCTCTAGGACGGGTTGCCATGGGGGAGACAGCTCTAGCACGGGTTGCCATGGGGCGAGACAGCTCTAGCACGGGTTGCCATGGGGCGAGACAGCTCTAGGACGGGTTGCCATGGGGCGGGACAGCTCTAGCACGGGTTGTCATGGGGCGGGACAGCTCTAGCACGGGTTGTCATGGGGGAGACAGCTCTAGCACGGGTTGTCATGGGGGAGACAGCTCTAGCACGGGTTGTCATGGGGGAGACAGCTCTAGCACGGGTTGTCATGGGGGAGACAGCTCTAGCACGGGTTGTCATGGGGGAGACAGCTCTAGCACGGGTTGTCATGGGGGAGACAGCTCTAGCACGGGTTGTCATGGGGGAGACAGCTCTAGCACGGGTTGTCATGGGGGAGACAGCTCTAGCACGGGTTGTCATGGGGGAGACAGCTCTAGCACGGGTTGTCATGGGGGAGACAGCTCTAGCACGGGTTGTCATGGGGGAGACAGCTCTAGCACGGGTTGTCATGGGGGAGACAGCTCTAGCACGGGTTGTCATGGGGGAGACAGCTCTAGCACGGGTTGTCATGGGGGAGACAGCTCTAGCACGGGTTGTCATGGGGGAGACAGCTCTAGCACGGGTTGTCATGGGGGAGACAGCTCTAGCACGGGTTGTCATGGGGGAGACAGCTCTAGCACGGGTTGTCATGGGGGAGACAGCTCTAGCACGGGTTGTCATGGGGGGAGACAGCTCTAGCACGGGTTGTCATGGGGGAGACAGCTCTAGCACGGGTTGTCATGGGGGAGACAGCTCTAGCACGGGTTGTCATGGGGCGGGACAGCTCTAGGACGGGTTGTCATGGGGCGAGACAGCTCTAGGACGGGTTGTCATGGGGCGAGACAGCTCTAGGACGGGTTGTCATGGGGCGAGACAGCTCTAGGACGGGTTGTCATGGGGCGAGACAGCTCTAGGACGGGTTGTCATGGGGCGAGACAGCTCTAGGACGGGTTGTCATGGGGCGAGACAGCTCTAGCACGGGTTGTCATGGGGGAGACAGCTCTAGCACGGGTTGTCATGGGGGAGACAGCTCTAGCACGGGTTGTCATGGGGGAGACAGCTCTAGCACGGGTTGTCATGGGGGAGACAGCTCTAGCACGGGTTGTCATGGGGGAGACAGCTCTAGCACGGGTTGTCATGGGGGAGACAGCTCTAGCACGGGTTGTCATGGGGGAGACAGCTCTAGCACGGGTTGTCATGGGGGAGACAGCTCTAGCACGGGTTGTCATGGGGGAGACAGCTCTAGCACGGGTTGTCATGGGGGAGACAGCTCTAGCACGGGTTGTCATGGGGGAGACAGCTCTAGCACGGGTTGTCATGGGGGAGACAGCTCTAGCACGGGTTGTCATGGGGGAGACAGCTCTAGCACGGGTTGTCATGGGGGAGACAGCTCTAGCACGGGTTGTCATGGGGGAGACAGCTCTAGCACGGGTTGTCATGGGGGAGACAGCTCTAGCACGGGTTGTCATGGGGGAGACAGCTCTAGCACGGGTTGTCATGGGGGAGACAGCTCTAGCACGGGTTGTCATGGGGGAGACAGCTCTAGCACGGGTTGTCATGGGGGAGACAGCTCTAGCACGGGTTGTCATGGGGGAGACAGCTCTAGCACGGGTTGTCATGGGGGAGACAGCTCTAGCACGGGTTGTCATGGGGCGGGACAGCTCTAGGACGGGTTGTCATGGGGGAGAC